ATCATACCAATTAACCCCGAGGCCCGCCTGCCTGATGGCTGAGACCCTTCTTTCTGGGCTCTGGCGAGGAAATCGGTGAGCGGAGGTGGCTGGGCCCTTTCGGCCCTGTTGTGGTTAGCTTACCCATCCAGGAGTGTGAGCAGCTTCCCAGTGGCCCTCCGTGTGCACTGTGTCGCATGCAGGACAGCTCGAACCAGCAGTGGTCCACGGGACCACTAGTGTCTCCTGCGCATGCCCAGGGCCAGTTTGGAGTGTCCCCTCCCCAGCAGTGTGGTGGCAGCAGCAACTTTCAGAACAGTGGCACTTGGGGACCTTGTAGTGTAGCGGCCTGCAAATGTGAAGCCCAGGTGTCCTTTGTTGTGATAAAACACTGAGAAAGATGCCTACTTTACCCAGCATGTCCAAAATAGGGTCAGCACACTCAGCACCTGAAGTCCAGGTGGGCTCCCCTGGCCTTGGTCTCAGCTGCACTCCGTGGGTCCGCTGCCCCCTGGCCCATGTGGCTCCAGATGTAGGCTTTGAGGGCCACATGCACAGTGGCTGCTCGTCTTTGTGGCTCAGACAGACTTGGCCGCCGCACACACTGGCTGAGCCGAGGGGGACCGCCCTGGATGTGCTGCCAGCACATGGGCCCGGTGCACCCAGGGAGTCACCTACTGCGTGGACGACCTGCACTTGGTGACCCTCGCTACCCACCAGGAGGCCAGGTGTGGAGGGCCTCGGCCTACTTGCTGGAGGATAGGACCTGCGGCCAGGCAGGACGCTGTCACGGGAGCTGCCTTGGCGGACAAGAAAGGTCCACTCCTGGAGTCCTAACCCTGCAGGCTGAATCAGGAGGTTTGCAAGTTCCAGCCCAGCCCGGGCAACTACCAACCTAGCTAGACCCTGCCTCAGAATTTAAAGTAAAGTTCCTGAAGGACGGGAGTGGCGGCCCAGGCCAGGGTCCTAGGTTTGTTTTGACTCCACAGGCCAGCAGCCAACTGGCACTGCACTTTTTGTTTCTAATTTCATATTTTTAAAAAAGTGTGCAGCTAAGGGACGTGTATGTTTTCAAAGGTTAGAAAATGGAGCAGTGCAGGAGAGCCAGCCCCGCACCCCAGAGGGCCAGTTACCCTTCGGCTGCCGGGCCTTCCCGGTTGCTCACGTAACTTCATGTGTGTGAATGTGTGTGTCCACAAGAAAAGCTTGTCCCACAACATCTGTTCTTCAGCCCTCTTTTGTCCCCACATCTTTCTCAGAGGAAAGGACTTCGACGGGATCCTGGGATTGGGCCCAGGTCCCTTGAGGACTGCAGCTCCGCCGTCCCTGTGGTGGGGCCCCTGCTGGGGAGCCCTGCGTGTGTGGGTGCCATGCACAGCTCTGCTGGAGGCCGAGCTCCCGTGGAAGGGCCCTGCACTCAGCACCGATGCCCTGCGCTGGGCCCCAGGGTGGGCTTTTGTTTTACGCACTCAGCGATTCATGCCCCTGTCCGTTTCTGAGGCATATTTTAAATTAAATTCAGTTCAGTTTGCAGCCAGGCTACAATTGCAGCTCCAGTCCAAAGAGGCGAAAGACGTCCTCCTTCCCCTCCTCCTCTGGGTCTTACGGCTGCCTCTGAGGGGCAGGCATGGCGCAGTGGTGAGTTCCTGTCTCCTGGACACTTGCACTGTCCCCACCATGTCCAGGTGTCACAACACACAGGATGTTGTCCGCCCGCGTTGAGGGGTCTGCTTGGCTTGAGTTTGATTTCTTATTAAACCTGTTTGGTCGATGACTTGACATTTTCCATGGATGAAAGCGTATTCAGTAACACACTGATTCAGTGACCTGCTGTTTGTCGGCCACTGCGGCTGAGAGCCAGTGCCACCACCACTCAGAGAGGACAGTAGTAGGGGACATGGAGACGCACACAGTGCTTTTTGTATTCTGAGCACATCCCCAAAGGGGTACAGGGCCGGGCCGTCCCATGGGGTGAGACTTGCCCAGCTGACATCACTCTTTCTGCGCTAATGTCCTTCTGCTGTGTGCAGTGGCCTCCACCGAGGGCCACCTGCCAGCTTGGGGGGCATAGGAATGGGGGCTCTGCAGAGGAGACAGAGCCCTGGGACTTGACGGAGGATGCAGAGGACGAGTCTGGGTGCGGTGGGCCGGGGGGGGGGGGCTGGGTCTTCTGCGCGGTGCTGGATGCCAGGGTCTGCCCTGCCACACACTGCCCGGGATCCCCAGTGATCACTTCCCTGTGGTCCCAGGATGAAGGGGAGGGCAGGTACCATGTTACCTTCATGGGAAGGTGCGAGGAGGCAGTCGGTGCTGTGCACAGGGCTCTGTGACTTGTGTAACTAGAAGTGTAAGACTTTGGCAGGAAATGGCCCGAGCTGTGACCGTCATCGCTGTTTACCGTAAGTCTCGTCCCTCACAGCCTCGCCAGGGCGGGATGGAACAGCGGGACGATGAATGTGAAGACGCCGTTGCGGCACTGCCGGGACAGACTGCTGGGACCTGGGGGCTTTATGCCACTGGCACCAACGGGAGATGAGTGGGCCTGGGCTGTGCTTGTCCTCATGCAGCCTGCAGCCAGGGCAGCTGGGAGAAAGGCGGGCTCCTCGGAGTGTGTGCCCCAGGGTGGCCATCGTGGCCAGGGTGCCGGAGCCAGGGCTCCGTGGTCGCACACGCATCTGCCGCACTTCTGTGGTGCTTTGCAGAAAGGCCATGTTCCATGGAGCCAGGAGCAAAGCTCACAGAGATGCCGTGTGATATCAGTGTTGCAAGCAAAACCCCCTTGCACGTGGGACACCCCGCTGTACCCCGCCTCCAGTGTAGGCAGAGCAGGCATTGGTTTCCTGGGTAGGCTCCCCCACGGCCGTCTGGCTGTCCCGCCATCCCACGTTGTGCAGTGGCCCCAGGCCAGCCGTAGCCGCGAGGTGGCAGCGAGCGGAGGGTTCCTGAGTTACAGCTTTACCCTGCTAGGTGGGTAACGCAGAGAGCTCAAGGCTAATAAATGTGTGGTTTCCCACAGAGGCGCCTCCGTGCCTGGCGCGTCAATGAGACCACCTCTGTAAAAAAGAAGTCCGAATTTAAGGGCATGTTTGTCTGTGTTCTTTGCCTGCCGTAAAGGTCACCCAGATAGATTTTTCCTTCTTCAGCGTTGCAGGCTGCGAGGAGCTGGGCATTTCTATTCTCCCTCCATCCAGCGGACCTGGGGACTAAATTAGATTCTGAAATGGAGTGTGCCGCGGAGTCGCGGATTTACCATAATGGGAGGGTATTGCTTCTCACCTTGCGAGGAGCCAGGTCATGATAATATGAAGCGAAGTGGATTAAAAATAAAACCAGAGGTATTTATTTATGACCTGCTCCGAATTGGATTGGCATCCGTGTAAGTTGCATCTAATGGCGAAAGACAGCAGATTGATGCTGATGTGTCCCCGAGGACATATTGCCGGCGGAATTTGCTCCGTGAATTCAATTTAAAGGCCCACAGAAAGCGTCCAAAATGCAAAGGAAATGGAACTGAGGAAGGGGCAGGGGAGCCCAGCAATGGCACCTACGCTTGGTGGCCGCGGGGCTCTGGGAGGGCCCAGACCCCCATCAGCCCAGGCAGTGTGGCAGTGAGAGGGAAACTCTGCCCAGCCAGAGTCCGAGTCCCATCCTGATGCCGCGGTGGCATCTCCATTCCACCCACAGTGAGGGAGTGCACCCCTGTCCATGGGACAAGGAACTGAGCCTCCAGGGCGCCGCGCCAGTTGAGCAGTCCACAGAGCGAGAGCAGGATGTGTCCTGCAGAGCTGGGTCCCCACGACACAGGCTGCTCTGTGCCTACTGGTGTCTGAGGAGGGGACGGGAAGCCAGGAGCTGTGTGCCTGGGGCAGGGCCTCACCAGGAAGCACCTTTTCAAGGCACAGCCCGAGACAGTGGCTCTTCTGTCACTCGTCATCTACTGGGAGCTGAGGTGGGGGGAAGAGGTGTGGGCAGCCTGTGGGTGGCTCAGGGCAGATTCCTTGGGACCAGTATCTGGCAGGGCCAGCGGAGTAGTGCAAGCTCCTGCCAGGGGATGTGCCTGGCTTCCCGAGAGAGGCCTGGCCTTGGGCGAGCCCTGGCCATGCAGCCTGGCCATTCCTGCCCAACTCCTCTGGGTATCACGATGCCCTGAAATCCCCCTGCCCTAGGCGAGGTCACAGGCTGCCTGTGTCTCCCTGCAGAGGGTTCCTCTGGTACCACCACACCACATTAGCAAGTCACTGTCCTACTGGTGTCCGTCTCTGGCTTCTGAGTGCTATACGCATTCCTTGTGTGCCTTGTGGTGTGTGACCCAGTAGCCACTGCTGACATGGCCCAGCTGCAGGCCTGGGCTGCTGGGAGGGGCAGGGTGTTCCAGCATGAGAGCCCCAAGGCAGAACTCTTCCCTGGAAGCCGAGAGACCCGAGTAAGTGAAGTGATGGGCACTGTGCAGTGCCTGCTAAAGGTCCAGTGTGCATCCCGCATGTCCAGCAAGCACCTTCCAGGTGTCTGAGCTGTGTGGCCTGGTGTGTGTAACTCTCCTGCTGAGCTTCTATGACAGAGAGGTTATACTGTCCCCGTTTACAGGTGAGGTGGCTGGGCTGGGGATGACACTGTCCCCAGCACGTGGCTGTGCTTTGCATGAACCTGGCTGTGTCAGTGCACAGCTTGTGAGGCGGCTGTGGTAGGAGCCCTGGGTGGACTTGGGCTGAGCCTGCCCTGAAGCCCCTGTGTGCCTGCCTCTCAGCTGCTGGCCATGCTGGGCTGGAATTGTATCCCAGGGTGCTTCTGCACATATCTGAGAGGCTTGGGGCAGGAGGGTCCAGCCCCAAAGCCTCACCAGTACCTGGCCTGGGAGCCCCATCTGCCCACAGAAAATGTGGGTGTGGCCTCCCTGGCATGTGGCTGAGATTTTGGAGAGCAGGTTGTGGCCATGGCGAGCTAGTCCATGGCATCCTGCGGCCCCACACGTGTCACACAGCCTGCCACCCTGTTCTCCTGCTGACTGCTGTCTCTCTCCCCAGGAGCTGCTCCTCTTCCTCCAGAACCTGCCCACAGCCTGCTGGGGTGACGAGGACATCAGCCTGCTCCTGGCCGAGGCCTATCGCCTCAAGTTTGCCTTCGCGGACGCCCCCAATCACTACAAGAAGTGAGCCGGGGCCTCTCTGTGGGAGCGGCGCCCTCCCCGCCTGGCCAGCTGTGGCCCCTCTGAGCTGGTCCCAGCCACGCACTGCCTTGCGGCTGTCCTACCCTGCAGCCACTTGCCAGGGTGGGCCCAGCGTGGCCTGGTGCTGGTGTGAACGGGTGGCTCAGTTTTCTGAGATACCAAAGAGAGCCAGGGACAGATCCAGGCTCTGGGGGCCAAATGTGGGTCAGGAGCCCCCCTGCCCTGTCCCTGGAGCATCCTTGCCAAATGTCCACCCTGGACCCCTGACCTGAAGCAGCCAAGAAGCAGCCCCACAGAGTGGCCACTGTCCGGGTGCCGGGCCGAATGGTGGTGGCCGTCAGACCTGCTCTGAAAAGCAAAGATTCTCCTCTCTTGGGAGAAAGAATAAAGTTCAGACTAAATGCTGGGGTGCGGTGCGGTGAGCTGGGGCTCTGTGCAAAGCCTCCGGCAGCCAGTAGCATCTGGGCCATGGCCCTGCAAGCAGGCTGAGTCTTTCTTGGCTGGAACTCCGTTGGAAGCTGACCTCAGTGGCTCTGGGAGCTGGGGACGGGAGGCAGAAGGCAGAGTGAGGCCCCTCACGGTCGCCTTACCTTCCGATCCTGCTCGCCTTTACAAGAGAGCTCCTGAGCCACGGCCCGCCCTTAGTGGTCACTGGCCCATAACCCACCGTGGGCAGTACCGTTCCTGGCAGGGCCGGGGTGGGCTGTGGACATACAGGGTAACCTAGCTGAACTCTTCCTGCCACTGCCCACTGTGCCAGGGCCCCAGGGATCTGTGGGTGGCTCTTCTGTCCAGCTACCCTATGGCCTCCCACAGCATCACGGCTGTGTAAGCCTTTGTGACTCAGGTACTGCTGGGCCACGAGGGAGGTGTTGGACACAGGCTCCATGGCCCTCAGAGGGACAGCTTCCTGTCCACTGCAGCCTGCCACGACTGCTCTGAGACCGTCCTTCTTGGGGGGCAACTCTGCCCTTGCCCAGGCACCAGGAGACTGCCCAGAGGCCAGGGTCACAGATGTGTGCAATGTGTGTTCTTGCTTCCATAAAAGCGGTCTCTGGTCATTATACATGACAGGAAATTGGCACAGCATTCTGTACCAGTATCCTGTGCCCCAGGACCGTGGAGGGCCATGTATCTGAGGCCAGGTGGAGCTCATACCCCACCTGGTTCCGGTTCCTTCGGAGCAGCTCCAGGGGTAAGGAAGCTGCCCTGTGGGTCTGCACATGGAAGCCCCATCTCCCTGGGATTGACCCTGGAGACTGCCCTGCTCTCACACATATCTCTGCACAGCCAGAAGTTGCAAAGGCGGAGCAGGTGGCCTCTGGTGATACTTTATTTTTCAATGAGGAAGGAAGCTTAAATTAAGCCCTGTGTGTATTTCGTGTGTGCAAATGCCAGAGTGGGTATGAAGGACCGGCGGTAGTCCCAGGTCTGAGCAGGTGACAGAAGTGTGTGTCTGAACGTGATGTGTGGGAAGATGAAATAAAGATGCATTGATGCAGACCTTGATGACTTGGTCTGTGATTGGAGGGTGCAGGGCCATCCAGCCCACACCAGCTGTCAGCCCCGGGCTCGGTCACATCCTGGCACCTGGGCGCGGTGCAGGTGGGTAAAAGGCCACTTGTCCAATGATGAGACAGGACTCCAATCCCCGAAAGCCCAGAGTGCACCACTGGAGTTGGGGGCTGGCGTGAGGGTCCTGGTCCTGCCAGCCCCCTGAGGCTTCCCTGCCATGCTGTGAACAAGGGGCCTCCCCACTTCACATCTCTCAGCGTCTGCTTCATGAAAGGCCTGAGCTGGGGAGGCCAGAGGGTTCTGGGAGTCCTTTGCCTCCAAAGTTCAGGACATGCTCAGCCCACTTGTATCCACGGGTGCCCCCAACACAAACCCCGACAGTCCCCCCTACCGTGCATCTTTGAAATAACCTTGCTGAGTGCCAGGCTCTCAGCGAACTTTGCGGCACCCACACCTCTCTGGTGCCACGTGCCTGCTCCCCAACTTGGCACCTTCCCACGGCAGCCTTGGCTTTCACTTCTGGGTGTGAACCTGCCCTGTGGTTAAGCTGGTGACTACACAGGTGCAACTGCTCCCCGCTCGTGCTCCTATGCCCAAGTATGGAACTGAGCTAGGGAGAGGAGCATGTGCTGACCCCACTGGTGCCCACCAGGGTCTGGAGGTGGGGATTGGCAGTCCCTGCAGCCACCAGAGGTGAGACTGCAGGCTGTCACTTTCCATCACGGTCTGCTGCTTGAGCTCAGCTTGAGGTCTTCACTGTCTGTGCAGAGGTGGCTCCACCGCAGAGGCCCTGTCTCAGTCAGTGCTGAATGCAGGAACACATTTAATAGAAAACAAGTATAGAAGGGTTAGATAGGCCTATAGTGGCCATGGAGTCCGGTGTGGTAGGGTGCAAAACTGTCTTGTGCTGGAGAGCATAAGAGTCCAGCCAGAGGCTGGAGGCCTGGAGCTCACTGTTCTGTCCTATGCAAATCCTTATCAAGAGGCTGATCAGTCTGCATTGGAAGCAAGGAGATGACATCCAAGGTGAAGGTGAAGGCTGGAGCTCCCTCAGAGAAACATCACTGAGCCTTCTCATTCCTCTGTTAGTCCATTAAGGCCACAAGCCTATTGGTGCCACTCATATTCAGGACTATGCTAACCCAATTGTTTGGGCGTGTTTTACTTAGGTTGACACAGTCAGGTAACTGTCACACCACCAGAGTCAAGAAAGAGAGTCAGCCTGTTGGTGCTGTTGTGTGTGAAGGGCCAGAGGTGACATTTTTTGGGGAGCTTCATTAGGGAGAGTGGGGTTGGGGTCCTCTGTGTGGTTGAGTTTAGAAAGCAGTCTGATGGGAGGACTGTGTGTTGTGAATGGTGGGTCTCAGCAGACTAGGTGCATTTAAGACATGGGGACAGGCTGTCTCAAGCTATACCCCACCTAAACACCCTGGGCTGCAGCTTTGTGTCAGGCCAGTGGCCACAGCAGAGCTGTTCTCAGGGCCTCTGGTCAAGGAATTTAGTGAGATGCATAAGTTGAGGTGTGTGTTTCCCCATAGCCTCTAGCTCTTGCACACCCCCACCCCTGGACTCTGCCAATGTGGCCCTTAGTCTCATGGGGTCATGTACTGCCCAGGTCTTCCCTACTCAGTTTGAAGGCCTTTTTAGACTCACATTGCTGACTCCTGAAGATCTCAACCAAAAATAGCTGTGTGAGGACAAAAGATCACTGCATAGTAGTTAAGGGAACAGTCTAACAGTGAAAGATAACAATTGTGAACATATATGCACCAAACACAGTACAGTCAATTCATAAAAGAGGTACTACTGGACGTAAAAGCCCAGATAAACATAAACACAGCTATAGTGGAGGACCTCAGTACTCCACTGCACAAATAGATCAGCCAGACAATGAACAAAGACGTAGCAGAGTTGGGCAAAGTCTTTGAACAGATCAGCTTGATACTTACAGAATGCTCCACCCAACAGCAGAATATGCATTCTTATGAGCAGCACATGAAATAGATCACATACTAGCCAACAAACCATGGTTAAGTAAATGTTGAAGAATTGAAATTATACCCTGCATATTATCAGATCACAGTGCAGTGAAACTAGAAATCAACAACAAAAGGAAACACATAAATTACACAAATGAATGGAAACTAAACAATATATTCAGCTAAACAATGGGTTACAGAAGTCAAGGAAGAAATTAGTTTCAGAACTAAATGAAAATGCTAATGCAGCATACAGAACTTCAGAACATAGTGAAAGCAGTCCTACGAGGGAAATTTATAGTTACCCACATCACAAAACCAGCAAGCCCAAATTAACCTAAAAATGTAATTCAAGATGTTATAGAAATAAGAACAATCCAAACTCAAACGTAGTACAAGGAAGAATATGGTAAAGATCAGAGCAGACATCAGTGAATCTGAGATAAAACAAAAATCAATGAACAAGACTTGGTCTTCAAAAGAATAAACAAAATAGATAAGCGCTTAACTAACCTAACCCTATTCCCTGCCATGGAGAGAGAAGACCCAAATCAATGCAGTGAGAAATGAAAAACAAGAAATCATAGAAGACTTCCAAAAGCAGATAATTGACAACTGCTTTATAAACCTATATGCAAATAAATTGAAGAAATAGATTCCTAGATACATATGAATTACCAAAATGGAGCCAAGATGATTTAAAGACCCTGAATAACCCAATGACAATAGATGGAAGCGGTAGTTTAAAAACCTACTAAGTAAGAAAAGCCTAGGTTCATATGTATTCATTGTTGAATTCTGCAAAAGCTTCAGGAAAGATCTAACACCAAGATTCTTCAATGTCTTTAATGGCTTGGAAAGAGAAGAAACCCCAAATCATTCCTGGAAGATACCATTACCCTGATTCCAAAACTAGATACGAATCCAATTGAAATAAGAGAACAATCTTTTAATGAATATATATGCAAAATTCCTCAACAAAACACTGGCAAATAAAATGCAATGAATCATCAAAAATCACATATCAAGACAAAATAGGCTTCATCTCAGGGATTAAAAGATGGTTCAACATACGCAAATCTACAAATATATAAGCAGACGCAAGGCAAAAATCACCTGATTTCTCTGGACGCAGAAAAAGCATTTGACAAAATCCAACATCCTTTCATGATAAAAACACTGAAAAGGCATAGAATGATTTATCTCAATCTGGTGAAAGTAATTGATGACAAACTTACTCCAACATCATCTTAAGTGACGAGAATCTAAAGCTTGCCTATTAAGATGAGGAAGAAGACAAGGATGTCTGCTGTCACCACTCCTGTTCAGCATAGCGCTGGATATATTAGCAAACCTGTACCGAGCAGACCGCCCCACAAAATCTTCAAAGGACTCAGAATTAATGACCAAATTCGGTCATGTAGGAGGGTGCAGATCAACACACAACAACCAATGGTGTTCCTATCCATGGATAATGAACCCACTGAGGTAGTAATTAGAGGGAAAAGGCCATTTACAGTAGCATCAAGAAAAATTAAATACTTAGGAAATAACCTAACCTAAGTTAAAGACCTCTACAGCAAAAACTACTGTACTCTGAAAATGAAAACCAAAAACCAAAAGGACATCAGAGACTATAAAGAGGATAGGCAGAATCAATATAGTTACAACCAATATACATATACACACATATCACAACTGCAATAAAAATATCAACAGCAGTTTTCACAGAACTGGAGAAAATCCTAAAATTCATATGAAACCAGAAAAGACCCAGATTAGCCCCAAGAAGTCCTGGATAACCAGAGAAAAGCTGGAGGCATCACAGTCCCAGACTTGGAGTTAGACTACAAGCTATTTGTGATAAAAACAGTATGATACTGGCACACAGAAGGATCAGTGGCACAGAATAGAGACTACAGAAGTAATCCCGAGTATATTCAACTATATCAAAGTTTGACAAAGTGGCCAAAAATGTACACTGAAGGGAAGATAAACCCTTAAAAAGTGTTGGGAGACCTGCATATGCACATGCAGAAGATTTAATATAGACCCCTATTTCTCACCATGTATTAAACTAAAATCAAAATAAATAAACGAACTAAACATGAAAACACTTAGTCTTAACCTGCTGGAAGGTGAGTAAAACTCTGAAGTCCTGGACATAGGCAAGGACTTTCTGAACAGAATGCCAGGGTACATGAAACTGATTCTCAGATCAGCAAAAGAGTTTGCATTAAATTGAAAAGCTTCTGTACAACAAAAGAATCAACAGAAAGAAACCAGAGAATGGGAGAAATTTCCCCCAGATATTCCTCAGACAGATAACCAAAAGAAAATAGATCACCCATGAGGAGCAGAAATGAATAGACCCTTCACATAAAGTACAAATGATTAGTAAATACACGAAGACATCCTCAGTATCTCTGACAATTTGAGAAACTCTCAAAACAACACAGAATCCTTTTTACCCCAGAAACAATGGTTACCACCATCAGGAAATCAAATAGTAACAAATGCTGGTGAGGTTTCAGGGGAAAAGGAGCCTTCTACGTTGCTGTGGGGATGTAATCTAATACAATGACTATGGAAATTGGTGTGGCGATTCCTCAGAAAACACTACAAATTTCACTCTACTCTACTGCTCCCCTTCTAGGAATCTTCCTCAAAGAGTTAAAGTCATTGCAGTACAGTTAATACATGTATTCCAGTGTTTATGACAGCACAATTTATGATAGCTATATTGGAAGCAGCTTACATATCCATCAGCAAATGAATGGATAAAAAAATGTATTTGCATACAATGGAGTATTACTCTGCCATAAAGATAAACTTGAGTCACTTGTAAGAAAAGACTGCACCTTTAGACCATAGTGTTTGGTGAAATGTATCAGACATACGAAGTTAAATGTTATGGTTTCACTTGCATGAGAAGTGCCCCTCAAATGAACAGCAAAAGAAAAGATGATAAGAAGTAGAGGGATTGATCTTCCTTGTCTAGGAAGGGGG